CCCCCCCCCCCCCCCCCCAAATACAAATATCACTGCACTCCAATCCATTCAAAATATGGTTCCTAAATGTATCTCCTTTCCTATAGCACCTACATTTAAATTACTCTGCCTTTTCCATATGTTAAATTTAAATTGCTTGTCCTCATTCTCTTCTTTCATTATATTTGCTAACAAAGAAGTAAAAAAAGTGTAATGCTGGAGAAGGATTGATGACAACTTTGAAATGGAGTATAGTGTGATTCTCAAAGTGTGCACATATCCCGAAGTGTGGTACTGTACAGTCTTATAAGAGTAACTCTCATTAGCCCTTTTCTTGTCTCCCTCCCACTTCCGTGTGGGAAAAGAGAATGCTTTGCATGCCAAATGTTTATAAAACAACCTTATTAAGGAATAGTCTGTCACACTGTGCTCCACTTTTGACAATTTTCCAGCCCCAAAAGTGGCCTTTTGTATGCCTATGATCACTGAACATGCACAGTAGGTTACATGCTGCCTAGGTTACAGCTATACATGTATGCAGGGCTCGCTTAAGTCACAAAACTCTACCTTGCAAAAACCTATGACTGGTGGGAAAGGCTGTTTTTGGAATGGTGACTGGATAATGCCCGACCTGTAACCTGGTAGTTAGAGTGCTGTTCAGGGAAATCAGAGAAATGCAAGTTTAAACCCCTTCTGGGTGAGCAGGGCCTAGAACAGCAGTTCTCAACCAGGGTGCCATGACACCTTGGGATACCATGAGATCCTTTCAAGGGTGCCATGCAATGTTAGTACTGTATGGTATGTAAAAATAATTGAGAACATAAATCCAGAAATTTCAAATAGGAATCAGTGTTAAATACTTTCTGACTTGTTGTGGTCTTTGAGTTCTTTGCTACAGAAAAATTGCTCTCTCCTTGTAGTAAAAAAACAAGTCAAAACTAAGAACTGACATTTTTTGAGGGGTTCCTGGAGTCTAAAAGGATTGAGAATTATGGGCCTAGAGCCTGGGTCTCGTCTTGTTTCTTTTTTGCGGGGTGGAGGTTATGTTCAGGTTATACTCATACAGAGGTGCCATGCATACACAGTAGCCCCATGCATGCTTACATGTTGACACTGCATAGGTAATAGAATAACCAATGATGTGTAAGTGCCCCAAATGCTGTGAAGGTGGTTGGAAAACTGAAATGTGGACATCTAAAGGAAAACAGAATTCAGCCTCCTGTGCAGCAAAACACTTAAGCACTTGTGAAGTTTTAAGCATTTGTACAGTCCTGTTGGTTTCAGTGAAACTCTTAAGGGTTAAAGTTAATAGCATACTTAAATGTTTTGTTGAATGAGGGACTCAGTCCTTGCATGTTTCCATGTCAGTGTTAGATGCATCTCTGCTAGATCTAAAATAGCTAGTTTGGGTAGTGGTAGTGTTGAACTGAGTGGGTATATCTACACGTGTGCTGGACTGCACAGTTATTACTCACTTAGGGAAGTACTGAACGACTGCATAGTAACTGCCATTACTGCACAGTCCCAGCACTGCACAGATTGTTTCTGACGCTACTGTGAAGTAGCAATGAACTTCTGCTCAATAGCTCATTGCTACTGCACAGTAGCATCAGTGTCATGGTTTGTACCTGTCGATGCTACGTTGCCCTAGCGATGAGCTACACCACTATAGCTCATAGTCTCATGTAAACGCACCCAGTATGAGCTAACTACCTACATTTTTTTTCTCAGGTAGGGCAGCACATGTTGAATTCCATGAATACAATCTGTTCAAAACAGAAAAAGAAAACTAGTCACACACTTACAATGGCATGTCCCAAGTATTCTACCTTCTTACCTTTGTAGAATGTACTGTAAAATTCACTTCTGCTTCCAAACTGTGATCTAAAATTGAACCTTCCATTACAAAATTAAAAAAAAAAAACATGTACGCTCTCTTGTTTGAAAAAGAAACCAGAAAACAATTGAGTTGTGTATAGTCAATGCTGAGTTGTCCTTCAGAATCTTCAGGCAACCTGAAACTGTACCCATTTACCTTTGTGGCATAATGTTTTTGTTTTTTGGGGGAATTTAAGTTCTCTGGAAATAGGTTAACTGATATTTAAATGGGTATTCAATGATAAAATAAATGCTGCTTGTTTTTCTTTCATTGTAAAGAAAAACAGTGCAAAACTCTTTTTATTTACAGGCATACCTGTGATGCCTACTGAGTCAGCAGCTGGAACAAAAGCACAGAGAACAAAGCCTTTATCTTCAACAGGTATTCCAGCAATTCTTGAAACATCTGCAGTCACATTAAAAGCAATATCCCATAGTGAAAGTCCTACAGCTTTCATAACCTCACCCATTACAACTGTGTCAGCTCCAACAAAACCGGCTTTTACTATGGTAACTGCAAGTCCTGTCCCTAGACAGTCTACGGTACTAATGCCCACTTCCTTAGGGGTAACACCATTTTCACTTGAAATGCAAGCTACACTGCTAGGAACTGTGTCCTCTCGTACAACATTAGCAACTTTACCTTCTGGACCAGCCTTTTTCACTACTGAAGTACCCACAAGGATATGGAGAACTAGAAGTCCTTCTGCAAGTCATTCTCAGATGTCAGCATTATCACCCACGGTATCTCCATCCACTTCTTTAACTGAAAAAGCATCTTTTCCAATTCTCACATTTTTTACAAGCCCACAGTTAACATTAACCACATCTACTTCACCAGTATCTACTATGTCTGTAAGAACTGATGCTAGCATTGATCATATTATAGTTCCAACCTCCATTTCTGCACAGACTTCAACTTCTCAAGCTCCCATGGCTACTTCTAGATTTACTAGTCTCTCTCAGATAATCACAACTCCGTACTTAGTAGCAACTCAAGCCACCTCCCAAACTTCTTCAACTTCATTAAGAACTAGTTCTTTAACTAAAGTGTCTCCAGTGCCTACATTTTTATCTTCAGTGAGCATTTCAATAACTGCTCCTAAACACATTGCTCCATTAAGTACAAGCAATATTTCTGATGATCTATCTGTAATGAGTTCAACCTCATCTTCAGTTGCTTCTCAAATGCCTACAACCACAAGAACTTTGAGTCCTCTTGTAACACACATGTCTACATTAGTGTCTCCTTCAATTACACCCCCCAAACCCAAAGCAATGGGAGAAGTCACGGTTGTCTCAGAGAGTCTTTATAAAGGACCTACTACTATTTCAGTCACTCCACAAATCTCTGAAGTATCTATAACAAGTACAGGTTCAACAGAAAGTAAACATCCACTACATAAAGACTTATTTCCAGTGTCAGCTATTTCTAAAAGACCAACAGAGTCTGTTAGTTCTACAGTCTTCCCATTAGCCACATCACTATTACCTATCAATGTCACTTCAGTTACTCATCACGTGGCAAAAACCACATCAAGAATAACAGAACATTCAAGTCTATATACAGAATTAAAAACAGCGCCTCTGGTACAAAGTACAAATACTTCTCTAACTCCCAGAGAACCTTCAGGAGCTGCTCTTTCTTTTACTAGTCCATCCATGTTACTTACAACGTTGTTATCCACATCAAGACCACCTAGTTCAGAAATCCCTGCCATCACATCCTTTACTATCAGTTCTTCAGTGTCTCCCACAGTAAATAGAACATCTGCTTTAATATCCCATGCAGCTGTTACCCAAGCACCAGTTTTATCCTTGCAAACACAAGAAATCCCAAGAAGTCCAGGTACAGAACTCTCAACTTCCCCTTTGTTAACAAATGTTTCCTCAAGCCCTTCAGCAGCACCTAAAACTGCCATTGCAGAACCACATTTATTAACTCCTACAACTCCTGAAGTCACCTTGGAAAGCCATTCTAGTAGACTCACTATTACATCTTCAGCTCCTTCTGAGACCTTCCATATATCTGCTATATCTCTAGGAACAAAAAGCTCATCAGTGAGTCCTTCAGTGGAACACAAAACAATATCTTTTGTACCAGCTGGAATCGTCACTCAGTCCACGATCCCATCAACAGAGCTGACCACAAGTACAACTGTAAATACTACGTTTAAATATGCAACCTCCACTGAGAGGGTTGCAGATGACATAGAAAGTAGCCAGATGCCCCATGTGCAAAAAAATGTAACTAAAACAATATCCAGAACTACTGAGAAACCTTCACTCCTGTACTTGACTTCTTCAGTTAAGACTATTACTTTTTCAAGAAAAAGCAGCACAATTTCAGGAGATTCTGCTTCTCCTTCTGAACTCCCAGAAGTCTCACAGTCAGATTGGTCCACAATTCTACCCCAAAGAACAATTAAGCCTTACTCTAATTTAACAGGACCAGAACAAACAGGCCCCAGCGAGTCACAAAACTTCACCATACCAGGTTCCTCTCACTCCAGTTATGCAATGGCCCTGTCTTCTACTGCAGAGCCTGGGAAAACACAGACTTCTGTGACAGACACAGAAATGATGACAGTTACAGCTGACTCTCCTTCATTTGGCACAATGGTGCATACACTGATGCCATCATCATCGTCATCTTCTGAATGCATGGTATGATCAATTTTATCTCCCTACTGTATGTTTCATATATATTCCTTTTTAACTCACTTTTCTTTACCAGGCAATGTGGGAGGTTTTAAATTTGATAAAATATCTTTAGTTTTTCTCTCTTTAAATTTTATATTTGTTCTGGGTTTTTTAAACATCCAGTTTTTCATTGGTTAGGCCATCCATCCACATTCTCTCAAATATGGCTCTACTCCACAGTTTGCCTGAAACCCTATAGAACAGGGGCCAGCAACCTTTTCAGGCCATGGGCTGGAACAAGCTGGGAGTTGCATCACTGTTGTGTTTCCCAGCCTCCCCTTTTCAGCTGGGGTGGGAGTGCAGCTTTTATCCAGTGGGAAGCTGTGCTGGTTCTGGGCAGTTGGAAACTGCACTCAGGCTGCTGCTGCAACATCTCCTTAGTCTTCTGCTCCTTATCTGCAGCGCAAGCGCAGCGTCCGGCTAGTGGGGAGCTTAGCTGGGGGTGGACAGCTGGAAGCTGTCTGCCCTGCTGCCACTTCCCTGCTGTGCTTCCCCAAACTCCCCAGCTGCATCACGTGTGCAGCTGGAAGCTGCCCAGCTCTTGCTCAGCCCCACTTATTGGAAGTTGTGCCCCTACTGCAGCCAGAGATAAGAGGGCAGGGAGAAGCAGTGGTGCTGTGGCCTCAGCTTCCAGCTGCCTGGCCCCTGTGCAATGCCTTGCTGCCTGGCATGGGTACAGACAGACCCTTGCTCTAGAAAGCTTTGACCTGGGAAACCGTGTGTATGGATCCCATGTGGGACTGAATGTTCAGATCAGGGTGGGCATCAGAGATTTTGGAGATAAGTCTGCACAAAGTATTCTACCCATTATCTTTCTTCTCTACTTCTTTGAAGTCTTTGTGCTGGAACTTTAATTAATGTTGAGCATTATGTCCAGGCTGCATCTTCCAGTGTAGTCTTGAACATCCATGCTGGATGCAATGAATAGACATCATGTCGTCTCAACAGACACTACTTTCTAGAGGGTTTGTTCAGGTGGGGGAACCCTCGATATGTCCCTTGCCTCCCCCTCCACACCAGACTTACCAGCCAGATGCTGGTCTCCAAGCTGCCAAGCTGCGCTCCTGGCCGCATGCATGCTGCAGCTGTGCACATACACAGGACATTTATCGGCCACATCAGGCAAAAAAAAAGCCGATTTCTGATGCTTTCAATTTTCCCTATATCAGTGTTGATCCAATACGGGACCAAAGTACCAGTGCACCTCTACCTAGGAGGCATAAAGGGAAACAGCCTGAGAACTGCAGAGTCTGGAACAGCTGAGCTTGCTTGGTGTGCTTGGGGTTGTGTGGACTGGTGAGAGAATAGTTGAACTAATTTTGGGGTGCTTAGGGCTTTGTGTGCTAGACTGAGGACATAGGGGCTGCTTAAAGCTTTGGAGGGGGCAGGATCATCTTTTTATGTGGCCTTTGCCTTTGCCCCAAGAAATACCTTTATTGAAGAAAAGTTGTCTCTTTTTCTGTTTGGGACTTTGGGGTATGTTTCTCCTTTGGTAGAAGTCAAGTTTCTCTCTCCATGAGATAACCATAAAGGGTCAGGGACAGCCAGGGTCTCAAAGTTGGAAGGAACCAGGGCTCACCCCTGACTCTAGAAGCCATGTCTAGGATGGCTTCAGGGGTATTCCAGAGACCAGGCAAGGCTAGGAGTCCTGAACAAATGCACTCTTGTGGGGAATCTGTGAGAGGCTGATTTTATTATGGCTTCTTCTCTCCTACTTGGTGTTCTGGGGTTATGGCAAAAGGGCATTGGGAGGTTGGGGTTTTTTTTGTTTGTTTTTAGGATAGGAGCATACAGAATATCGTGCTAGTGGTCCCTTGAGTCCTAGATAAGGTTCTGGTTAATGCATTCAATTAACTTTGAAAGGCCCAAAGGTTAACTGACTGGGCTGGCTGTCTTCATGTGTACTTCCTGATATTCCAAACCAGGAGCTGCAGGGCTGTAATGCTGCATCTAAGTTTGTGCTAAAAGCATTTTTGTTGGTATCATCAGAACTGATTTGTCAGATTTCAAAATGGATTTTGAAATCATTGGATATACTCACCATGGACTGTAGATTTTTTTAGAACAATTTAGACAGACATTTATTGAGGATGGCCTAGGTATATTGGACCCTGCTCCACAGCAGAGCAGAGCAGAGGTATGACCTCCATATGACAACTTGAAGTCCCCTCTAAACCTTCCATAATTATTGTGCACAGTGTTAACTTCTGTTTGTTTCTTTTTACATAACAGCCACGATATATCGAGCCCATAGACAAATGTAGCCAGTATGTGTGTGTTAATATGGGATGGATGTTATATAACCTTTCAAGGAACTGCCCTAAGAATGTGGAAAAGCCTGATTGTGGTTTTCGAGGAATGCCAGTTCAAGTTAACAGTGATAGTTGTTGCCCAGAATGGGAATGTCCCTGTAAGTCATTTTATATGTTTTTATTGTGTGCGTTAATGTGTAAAAGATTAAATTCTATTATGTATATGTCAAAAATAACAGTTATGATTAGATTATGATTAGAATTATGATTTAGAGATGGAGGACTGTCTTAGCGTTAAGGCACCAGGTTGAAGTCTACCCCCAGGGTTCCCATGTAAAGTTGGCACAAGTCTCTTCATACTTCTGTGCCTCAGTTTTCCATCTGTAAAACTGGGAATGCCTTTTCTCACAGAAATATTAGGAGCATACATTTATTCATAATATGCTCTGATGCCACAGTATAAGCATAAAAGAAAAACTAAATAAGTAAATTAGGAGAAAATAAATATACTGTGAAAAAGTACAAAAGCATCACTTTGGTTTTAATTTTGTGATTTTTTTTTTTGATTATTTTCATCTGGTTGGTAATAGTCTGTCAGAATGATTTCCTGTTATACTGGTAATTTATGCAAATTTGAAATTTTTCATAGGAAAATCAAAATGAAACATTTTGTTACAAGTTATTTGGACCCAGTTCATGATATTTCACTTAGTTCAACTAACACAAAATACTTTGTTTTGTTTTTGAAACAGCTCGGCAAAATATTAGATTGTTTTTCCTGCTCTCATATTGCCTTGTGAGAGCTGTAGTTTGAATTCGCATGCTACCCTTTGAGCTAATACTTTCTGACCGGCTATCTCCCATAATGCGATATGGGATTCCCACTGAACAAGCTGTGTACCACACAGGCTGGACCCATGCAGCATCATGGGAGCTGCATCAGTTATTTAGTCCAGTTGGAGAGCCTAGCCCATGAGGAAGACATCAGTTTTCAAAAGTATAGTTCTTATGAGGCAGTAGAAAATATTGAAACAATATTTTTGTATTTCCAAACTAAATTTTTTCAAAATGGTAAGACCATGGAGAATTTTGAAATTTCAACTTTTTGTTTTGATTTGCAGTGAAAACAAAAGAAGAAATACTGGAATTTCAAGCAGGAAAGAGATTCGTGATGACTTTGTATTAATGACTTAGTTTCAATTTAAAGAGATTCGCATCAGGCCCTATTTTTATCAAAGATGATGCACGTGGTGGTTTTTTTCTTTAGGGAGTAGCAAAACTGAATATGAAAAAATAGCAATTATACACAGGAAAATATGACCTTCTTCAACACTTCCCACTGTATCTATTGATTTGTTTTTCTTCCAATCGTAGAAGAATGTGTCTCCTTTTCAACCCATCAAGCATGGCTAGTTCTTCACTACAGCTATGGCTATCTATAGCAGTTGAGGCTTTCTCCCTGAATCAGTGCAACCTTTAAATGTTCATTGAAGTGTCTATTAAACTCTAAGGACTTGCTTTTCATGACTCAATGAATTGTGTCCAGATATAACAGCTAACAGTGGTGGGTTTTTATTCTTAAAAAGGAAAGAAAATAATATTAAAAATGGAATATTTTAAGAAGTTGTAGCATACTGTTTTATGGTAACCTCATTAAATATCAGTTCTTTTTTAGGTCAATGTTCTGTACTATCTGAATTGAGCATTATTACGTTTGATGGAAATAACATAGCCCTCTATAATGCGGCTTCGTACATTTTAGTCAAGCTCCCAGGAGAAATTATTGTTGCTCATGTTGAAAAATGTCCCACTAATCAGGTGAGAGCTTTGCATGATACCACTTCCACAGTAACCTTAATGATGATAAGTTATTTTGGGTGTATATGTTTGCAGGTTTGTGAAGACATATAAGTTTTGTACATTTTGTTCACTTCTGCTAGTCCAGTTAATTTTGGATTATAAAAAGCAGACAGCCCCTGCTACCGTCATCCCCACCCCTGTCCCCCTCTTTGCTAGCCTATCATCTCTTGTTGCCACGTTCCAGGAAAATGCACACTTAAACCCTCCCCTTTTCTGGATGCAGGATCCTCAGTGTTTTAGTATTCCTTGTACTCTGTCTTCTCAGGGTATGTCCATTTTACAAATCATCAGTACAATATCAATTGATGTAGACTTACTTGAGCTAGATTTTAAACTGCTGCTATAGGTAGTGATAACATTTTTATTATTATCCAAGAAGCTAGGTCAGAGGTTCTCAAACTGGTCCACAGACCACCACTGGTCCGCGAGCTCCATTCAGGTGGTCCACAGAAAAGTTGTGGAACAATCGAGAATATCTGTACTTGTAAGATAAGGCTACTGATATTAAAATATGAGTTGTGTGCTTTGATTTGTAGAACCAAAAAAAAAAAGTTTATTAAGTGGTCCACTGAGACCCTCAGCAATTTGCAAGTGGTCTGCAAAAAAAAAAAAAAAAAGTTTGAGAACCACTGAGCTAGATAGTTTAATCTTGTGTGTGGGTTGAGATCTTTATAGAACACTTTAGGAAAGCTACATTGGTGTAAGCTTCTCTCCTGCATGTCTTGGATGCTCCTTATATAGATCATTTTATTGTCTGTCTTGCTTTGTTCCTCTTAAACAGGGGTGTCAAGCTTATAGTCCAGTATCTGGACTGTGGAACCATGTAATCCTGGTTGTGGATTGCTGGACTGACCCCATCCACTGCATGCAGCATGTGAGCTGACCCTGGCGTTGTACACACCATAGGGGGTTGTTCCAGGACACACAGTGCATGTGGCACCCTGCTGGGTGGACCCTGTGTATGAGCTTCATGAGGCACCCTAGACCAGCCCCATGGGCTGCTTCTACAGTGCCAGGTCCAGCCTGTGTGCTACAGGCAGCATGTCCTTTGCCAGCTCTAGGTGCCAGGTGTATAGCAAGCCCCAGGGCTGAGCTGGACCTTGTGGCATGGGGTCTGCACAGGAGGCCAGTCCTGATCCGTCCTGTAGGGCTCAATTAGTTTGACCCCTCTATTCTAAACCCTGTTGGTCTAACTCCATAGCAATAAATCATTAAAGCATTTGGAAATGCTTTCTATTTACTGAAGAGGAAAAGCGGCAGTGACACATAATGAAAATGCTCTTTTGCAACATAAGATTATTTCCTGGGGAGGTCAGAAGTAAATTTACTTTTGAACAAGTTACTATCATGTTTGTATTGCATGTCCTCTACCATTGTCAATTTTACTCTGGAGTAGCCTTTTGCTCGGCGCAACACGGCACCCCACTTTCATATGGCCAGGCATGAAATAGTTGCTACTGTGGATAGCTGCTTGAATATATGCTGTTTTTTTTCATAATAAAACAGGATGAATGTTATCAGTTATCCTTACATTTCTAATCTACTTTTACATATTTTTCAGAGTGCAAATTCAATAAGAAAACTAGTAAGTATTTTGCTAAGTAGCAAATACACTGCTCTTTATTTACTATTTGTTACATGCTAAAATAAGTAACATCTAATAATGTTCTTAGGAAAAGCAAGGTAACTCATTTTGGCATTTTTCTTATAAGGTACCACCTGGAGGCACTTCAGGGCTTTGTTTTAAGAAATTAAATGTAACAACACTTACATATAAAGTACTTATCGACCGTTTAGCAAGAAAGGTGAGTGCATAACTGTTAACAGAGAGCACATAAACATATAAGCAGTAATTGGAGAGTGCTTTGTTCTAGAATGCAGCAAATCAGTCTCATAGTTTATGGACTGTAAGATCAGGATTACCTTTGTGGTACAGTTTCCATCTGACCCATGTTATACTACAACATCTGTACCACCTACCTTTCTAGTATCCCTGTTTTCATGAACGATATAGAAAAATTGTACACAAATAATGTAAATTTACTATCTTTTTCCTCCTCTTTGACTTTTGTGCTTTCATAGCACTGGGACCAACTGTCCTTCCTAAATATTACAGGAAGCTGGTGGCTGTGATTCCACAGCTGACATTCTTTCTTGAAACCGGTTCTCCAATACGGCATTACGGATGTTGGAATGAATATTTTTCTGATGAAATGCAAAGCTGAGACCCAAAGCAGAATCTTGCGTAATGCAGTCTAAATCAGGCAAAAATGGTTCTGTTTGGTTCTGTTCTGTTCTTTCTATCATTTTACAAATCCAATATCTGTCTAACCTCTCAGTTTTGAGTGTTTTTATATATTAAAAAAAGTATTGTCTGAAGTTATGCATTCTATTTTCCTACTTAAGTCAGAGCTGAAAGCAAACCAGATTCAGAAATCTTCTCAGACCTGTTCATTCTTGTCCCCTTGTCCTGTGTTTTAATTCATCAAATGAAGTCTCCCTGCTGGTTTGTAATAGGAGGGAAGCGAAAAATTAAGATCCCACTTCCTTAATTAGGAAAGTTTCTTACTTTACAGTTTTCTTAGATTTCATACTTCCATGGCAATGGTAGGAGATATAGACTGACCAGAAACTCCATGATTTGTACACACTGACCATCTCTGGTAACTGAAACAGGAACAAAGAATAATAAAAAGCAAGTTTTGTTTGCTGTTCCATTAAGTGTGATCTTTGGAATTCTGTGGCTCATTCTTAAAATGTGTTTTGTCCATTTTAGGTAGTGGTGGACTCTGTAATTCAGCCTTTACCTTTCTCCAAACATGGATTCTGCATTCAGGACACTGGTGCAATGTATGTCATTAATACCCCGGCTGGCATTAGCATTAAGTGGGCTCACATTACAGGCATTATAGATATACAGTATGGATTACATTCTAACACTTCTACCAAGACAGAAGGACTTTGTGGTGAGATTATGTTGCCTATCAATCTTTATTTTTGTATCATATTTTGTTTTCACTGAGGGTTTATATTTAATCTTTTCTCATTTAAAAGGTCTGCCATATCCCATTTCTTTAATACCCCTGCCATCCAAGACTTACTAACCGTGACTTGTCACTGAAGAGCTTGGCAATATAAAATTCCTTAGAGTTTAATGACAGTTCTACTTGAGCTGCACTCAAGGGTTCTGTTAATGTCAATTCTGTTTTAAAACATTGTTTGCTACTAACTCTTGGAAGAATAAAACTGTCTTTGAGATAAACAGTTATTACCGTATACATGTAAATCTGTTTGAAATGTACCATTCTAAATCTTTGGCTGCAAGGAAAAACATTAATGGAGTCCACTGAACAAATAAGCTGAAATCTGTACTTGGAAGTAACTGCAAAGGAAGGGGTTGAGATGGAGCCAATGCATCCAATGGACACTGCACAGGAATGTTGATTCCTGAAAGGCTCTGTCCCAGATGATGAAGAGAGTTAGTACTGCATGATTACTAGTGCTGTGGGTTTGGAGTGCACCCAGGAAAGGGTTTGAGTCTTAGATCCTTATTAGACATTAATTTTAGGTGGCTAGATTGTCCGCACGTTAACACCTGAAACCAGTTTTTAAGTACACATCAGGCAGCTTAAAGTTACACCACTCCAGGGCAGGTTTCTGCCTGATCCATATTATCCAGCTTATGTTCCATTAATGTGTGGCCACAGATGAGCCACCCAAATTGCAGTCCTCCAGCATCCCAGGATGCAGGGTACCATCCTCTTCTTCTGTGTGGATAAACTTTTGACTCCCTGAACTCTACTGCCCAGGTGGCAGTCCTGGAAGCAAGATGACTCCATCTCCTGCCCCCAGGGGTGTGGCTTTCCCACTCCCAGTGGTGCCACCCTGTGTAAACCCCTCAGCGGCTGCCTGACTTCATTTCACCACCCGCATTATCTTTCCACCTCCCATTTCATTACTCACTCCCATCCCATTAAGTCTTGGACTACCAGCTTCACGTTCTCACTCCCCCCACCAACCCATTTCTCACACAGCCCAACTAGAGCAGGGGTAGAAGCCTTTGCTGGCTCTCTATCCCTGTAGGTGCAAGTCACAGCTGTAGCTCCTTATCAGGCTTCTGCTTGCCAAGTCGCAGCTGGGTGGGTGGGGGACAGTCAAAGAAGGTTTTTACCTTCAAGTCAGGGTGGGCAAAATATGGCATGTGGACTGGATCTGGCCTGCCAGGGGATTCTATCCAGATGACAGCAGGTCCGTTAGCCCTGCCCAGCCCAGGTGCAGAGGGCGGCCTGGGCCATGATTCATGTGTCTGGTCCTGCTGTCCCCACATGCGCAGTGGGGTAGGGACCTCATGATGGCCAGACTCAACTTCCCAGCAGCCCCTATGGTGGTGGCTCACTCTGTCCAGCTACCACTGCCAGTGTCTCTGCCACTGCTAGCCCAGTCCTGCTGCCTGGATACTCAAGAGTATCTGCCCCACACCCACCTAGGAGCAGTACATCATATATCTATGGGGAGGGGGTGCGCTGGCTTTGTGTCCTTCACCTTTCTTCCAAGTCCGTGAAAGGAAACTTTCCGTTAGATGCTAAATGGGGAATTAGATCCACAAGTTGAGCAAGAAAGGGCCAGAGAACTAGCTATACCACATATTACAATCCCTCTACTTCTCTAGTGTGAATTCCAAGTATTGATTAATTTCAGCATTGAATATGTGGTTTCCATTCCATGATAAGACTCTTACCCTTATAGATGGGCAGTAGCAGTGGGGACAGCCATACCACTATTTGTTTTATGGAAGCGTTGAAGGATCAGAGCTAGAAAAGGAGGTTAGGAAACTCTCACCATGAAGTATGTAGAAACTACTAGTGAATTCCTGGGAATGATGCAATTCCTTCCTTTTTCATGTCGTTATGACAAGGTGTTTAGTAGAATTTGCAGATTCACTGGAATCTGACAGGCAACACTATGAGCACCTCTTTTATGGCCTCAAATTTGCAACCTTTGGGTTGTCAACTGTGTGCCTTAGCACCCAGCCACACCAGCTCCCAAGAATGCAATTAATGGTAAAATTCCCATTGGTTTAATAGGGCAAAGATATCACCCTGATTCTCAACCTGAGGAATTTCAGGTTTGCGGAACTAATCTGTATAAAAGAATGCTTGGACTTTGCCTAAAATTAAAATCTATACATATTATTTCAAATCTTAAATTAGATCTGGTATTTATTTCAACTTTTTGAAGCAAGGTTTGTAAAATCTGGCAATGAAAAATAATCCAGGTATGATAATTATACTAAAATTACATATTTGGTCCACATCCAAACATGTAAAAATATTTCAAAACAAAACTAGATATACCTAGACTTTGAGTAGTGGATAAACACCAATTCAAAAACCACTTGGGAAAAAATATTGACAGGGAGGAAATTAGAAGCCCAGAGTACAAAAGGATACAAAGATAAATTAGATATACAGAAAATAATGTAATAAATCAGGCTGCCCATTTCTGTATAAAGCACTGCTCTTTTGATAAATCAAACCTCTCCCTGAATAGTCCAATCCTAACTTATTATTTACATGGTACAGTGTAGAAGTATGGGAGTAGTTATCCTCAGTTACAAAAACTGCATGACTTGCGTACTCGCACAGTAGCAAATTCATGAGAGGGAGGCAGATGGCAGCTTTTGAAAAGATGTTGGATTCATAAAGCTGCACTAAGAAATTAAATAAGAAAAACATTTTTGGAAAGAGGGTGTCTTACTGTTTTTTAACTTCAAGTATTTAGAAGTGTTAATATAAATCCAAATGATGTGTCAGATTTGTGAACCACTCCTACCCATGGTTTGCAGTTACTTGTATAGGGACTTCCATTTAAAATAATAATAGAATACCTTTTAGAACTTGCTCTGTGCAAGGGTATCAAATCTGGTGCCACATGAATGAATTTGCTGTCCTGCCGGTGGTTTATCCTGGGAGTGGGTATTGTCGATTAACTGTGTCTAGGAAAGGTTTTATTACTTTAACTTTGTGATCTGCTTGTCTAGCTGACTTACTGAGCTGATAGTGTACACAATTAAACTATATATAGGAAGTTGGAACTGCACTGTGTATAACTGCATGCAGCTGTACAAAATCAGTTGACTAATTTTTAAAAATATTAAGATTTCTTGAAATAAAATCAAGATGAATAAATCAAAAATTGTTTTAAAATGCAGTTGGTGCGATGTTAACCTTACCTCACAATTGTACTACTTTTCATTTGAAGAACAAATGTGCTATATTTTTCACTAAATGTGATGTTCTCTCTGTAAGGCGTGTGCAATGGAGATCCTTTTGATGACCTCAAGATGCAAAATAGAACTATAATTACACACATCGAGGAAATTGAAGCATTTATTAGGAGCTGGGAAATTGAGAAATCAGTTGATGTAACGACCAGGAGGCCAGTAAGAAACTGTACTGAAGATAACTGCACTTACTGTATGGAACTGCTAAACAGAAAGGTTTTCATTCCGTGTCACAAAAAAGTAAGTACAAAGAAAGGAGCACTTTCAAGTCTGAATTAATTAAATGATTTATAAAGAAAATTATAATTTATAATTTCATTTTCTTTTACTCCCTCTGACATATTGCTTGCCAAAATAACTCTTCAGATGGCTTCCATCTATGGCTAGCTACAGACATTCAGTCTGTTATACAGTTTTCTATAAGCAGTATAGTTAACACCAGTAGTGAAAAGAACACAAATTCACCCTGGGAGGTGGGAAGAGTCAAATCTGCCATTTTTTAAAACCAGTCTGTGTATGTAACTTCTATTCTGTTATGGGTATAGACCAATTTACAATCACTTATAGGTTAAGTACAAAGTCAAAAAGCCTGAGACTGAATTGATTCAAGTGAACAGACATTTTGATTCCAGAAATGCAGCCATGTGCCTGCAGTGGCCCAGGCCAGAAGCCAGGGGGTGCTAGAGCACACCTCCATGCTCACCTGAAGCAGACAGGTTGGGCCAAGGCTAGCCTGCCCATCCTGTGAGGGTGGGTTTGCAGGGGCGGTGCAAAGCATCATGCGATGCTGGGGGACTGTGAGTTAACTTGAAACTGGAGGAGATCTGGGACAGAAATTCAATAAATGGATTTAACCTAAATCAGTTAAGTCTGTTACTACATCCATCTAGGTTTATCTTAAAGTGGTTTCAGCCATTTTGAAAGCAGTTTATGTGCGCTGAACTTCTATTCTGTTACAGATTTGAGCCACTTTCCGATCACTTACACCAGTTTGTGTAAGTTATGTCTCTAGACATACTGGTAAAAGTGTAATAACTGTACCCGGCCTAAAGGAATACCTCGAGTGCAGACCACCATGTTACTTTTTGGCTTCTGAAAATACTGTGCCATTTTGTAAATGAAACCCTTATTAGAGTGACGTAACACAGCATCAGCCCAACAGTGAAATATAAACCAAATCTTGATTAAATGTTTATGAGGTAGCTGGTTAGGAGTGACCTTCTGTTTATACACTATTGGATTCTGGTTGGTCAGAAATCTCTGTAGCTTAGGGAAACATTACAGAAGTTAGCTTGGTCACTTTTTATATTTGTGGCATGATAGCTTACTGCCAGAAAGGTTATATTTAGGAACAGAACTGTAAGGATTGTGTCATTTAGCACATCAGCTGCCACTAGAGGTAGCTGATGTAGCACAGGAAGAGTAGGAATGACTAGAGAGGCAGAGAGATGAGAAAATGAATTTCAAAGACATTATGGATGTAGAATTCTTTCTATTTCAAACCAGGATTAAGCAGGATTGGTACTTTCTCCATTGTCCACATCTCCATTCCTGATTTTATTATTATTTGCTTAATTTTCCTTTTCTAGGGTTTACTCTGTTTTCTTCCTTTCTGTTAAACTACTTTGCAGTAGACTGACCCCCTGTGAGCAGACTCTCAGATACCTTTCATTTAAGCTTGAGACCTTTCTCTTATCAAAAGAATAGGTGGGGTTATTAAAAAAAACAAACAAAAAAAAACAGAAGAGAAACTTTTTGAAGTATCAGCTGAAGAAATCTAGTGGGAGAGTTATGGAAGACATTGTGTCACTAAAAAGAAGGAAGTTGGACATTAGTCTTTGCTCATCCACTTCAATGTCTTCAGCTTCTAGTAACTTGGATTATTCAAAATTAGTCAAAAATGTGTCACAGTTGTTGGTTTCTGAGCCCTACTTTCTTACACATCTGGCAGGTTTACTGATTCTGCTTCAGGGGAGGTGCTATGTGCCCTGTTTTGGGGCTACCTTAAGGTTTGACATGCCCAAAACACTTTGTTGAGCCAAAATGTTTATTCTTGTTTTGTGTACATGAAGCTGACATCTGGAGAGGATGAAAAATGGTGCATGTGTGCTTTACATAAAAAATGAAGTGGAAAAAATTCAAAAGGTGAACAAGAGTGGGAAATGAAAACTGCTGCTGTAAAGAGCACTATGACAAAAGAGAGTGCATCCAGATTTGCAGAAGTCACAATAAGAGAGGGGGAATTGAATAAAAATGGCAGACAGAACACTGCTGAATTCTTCATGCTTCCTGGTTGTACAAGCTTAAGCAATAATAAACCAGAACTCATATTGGTTAGAATTACATAAACCAGAACTCATATTACATTTGAATTTTGATGTAGTACATTTGGAGTCAAGAAAAAAATCCCATTTAAACATGAGTCTAGCACTACATAATCTATTCATGTTATAATTTATAGAGGGAATGGAAGCAGAGTTTAACTGCAATCAGAGATTTAAACTGGAAGCATCATATTGCAAAGAACCTTGTCAACAGTACTGCAGTGTCATCAGGGCTGTTTTCTATGCCTACTAATGAGCATGTAAAATTGTGGTAGGTGTAATATCATGCAACTAATAATCATAAGCAGAAAAAAGGTATCACTACCTGCCAGTCAGAAATCACAGATTTTTTTTTCCCTCTTGCACTAGTAATATATCTTGGAATTTATTGTCAACTAATAGAAAAAAAGTTGTTCTACTAGTGAAATGTCAATTAAAATGTATTTCTAGGTTTCACCACAGGACTTCTGCGGAAAGATGTGGATTAACAATACTTACTTTTGGAACTATGAATGTGATGCACTTTCTGCTTATGTGGCTTTGTGCAACAAACATAATATCTGTATTAAATGGAGGACACCAGATTACTGTTGTGAGTTAAAATATTTTACCTTCAAAAGATATTTTATACCATTACAGTATTTCTGCGTATTATTGTTGTGTATTGTGCTCTTTCAGTCACAGCCAGCTGATGTGCAAAGTAAGTAAGTCAAAGTAGATGGGCTAAAATCATGGCAGCTATGGCTTCACTTAAGGATTTTGTCCCACAAATTTTTCAAATGTATAATTTTGTAGTTTATTTCTAAATGTAAATTGTTGTTCTTACTAAAATTTACACCTTAAAAAAAAGAGAATTATTTGTTATATTCTTTTTTCTGTGTTTGTGGATGGTAGCCTTGAATTGTCCCAATGGCAAGGAATACCAGCCTTGTGTGCAACCCTGTGAAGCCAAAACATGCTTGAATAAATGGTTCCATGAAGAATCTCTTTGCTCCTATTTAAGAGAAGATTGTGTCTGTAAAAATGGGACCATTCTTCATAGAACAGACTCAGATCTCTGTATACCAGAAGAAAAATGTAGTAAGTAAGAAAGAGCAGAGGGATCTGCTCTGTGGATTAATGCAAGTGGTATATCCTCTATGTGGCCAGTTTCCAGAGCCTGGGGTCTGTCATAGCCCCCAGCTATAAAGTTTGCCTTAGTGCAGACTTTGGAATTCATGGTTTCAGCTCTGGTAGGTTCTGGCTCATGAGAGCAGTGATTTATTGGTAAGTGATTTTTTTTTTTTTTTTTATTCTAAAACTTCTCTTGTCCAGGAGTAAATTTGAATGAATAGAACCAATGGTTTCTCTCCTCTCTTTTTTTCCTTTTCTCTTTGATCCTTTATCCAAAAAAGCTATAATTTAGGAATGTTTTGGGGCAATCAACTGATCCTAGATTTTGTGATGATGGCCTGAATTGCCTTTTATAAATTTGATAAGGTGATTATAAAGATTTCTCACATACCTAGACATTCCCACAGGAAATCATAACTTTAGAATTTCTTGACTACAATGTCTATGTCAAGCCACCATCCTTTATTGTTTAATCAAAGCTTTAAATCGGTGCAGAAAATGAATGTCTCCTTGTTTAGTGGTACCTATCAGGAGGTATGATACATTGGTTCTGGCAAAGGTATATAGGTATGGAGAGTTAAGTCCATAGGATCCCTCATTGTTTGGGTCCTAGCTATTGGAGTGATTTCTGAGATAGATTCAAAACCCAAGATGGAGGTGATTTTGGACCACTCACTCAGGGGTTTACATGCTCCACAGAAGGATGTGGCAGAGTGACTTGGGCAACTAGGTATGGCAGAAAATGCTTCCTCAAGTATCCTGATACAACAAGCTAGCAGGGTGATTGCTGCTGTAACAATGCTGCAAAAGTAGTGACTGAATTTTTTATTTGCACACAGAGAGACAGAAAGTCTGTGCAGAAACTTTGATTTTGGTGTTAAGTCCAGGAAGTAATAATCATTTGAAGGAGAGCAGCTGCACTTTGCAGGAGTTAGTGGGATGGGTCTGCTAATACACTAAAAAGGGTATCAGATTCCAATATAGTTTAGAAAACAATAGAGTTTTCTGACAGTTAAATATATAATCTACATTAGTATACTTTATGCAGTGAAAGTAGCTAGTTGGCACATTATTCAGGATTCTATTACCTGTCATTTTGTTTTTCTTTCTTAGCATGTACAGATAATGAGGGACAGCCCCGTTCTGCTGGAGAGTTTTGGAAGGGATCCATTAAAACGTGTTGTATGTACAGCTGCTTGGAGAATGGAAGTGTTATTGCTGTAGAACCTGAATGCGGTGAAGACTCACCACCTGTTTGTGAGCGAGAGGGTGAAGTTATCATTAATGTCATTGAAGAGGGGGCCTGCTGTCCAAAGCAAGTTTGTGGTATGTTTACATCTCAACACTTTTGAGAACAGTACGTGGGAGATATTTAAACATTCATTGCATGTAGTGACATACAGGCAGGATTTAGAGTTAATTTCTTCATATTGACTACTAGACTTGAAGCTGGTTGATTGGGAATTTTTTGACAAAACGGTTTTATATTTGAAAATGCTAATTGGTTGACATTTGAAAGTCTTTCAGGTTCAGGATGAAATTTTGAGAGGGACAGACAGATGCTTCAGAACTGCATATAGTCTGGTGGATGGTGCACTCATCAAAACTGTTTTGGACCCAGAGTTGCTTAGGACACTGAGTTGTAGTGATTTTTCATAAAATTAGGATCCTGAGACTTAAAGTGCTCTTGAAAGTGTGGATCATTTTTTTCCTAAACCATGTAAGAAATTCTAGGGGGAGAGGTGCTTAAAAATGAAATGTCTTTGTCTAATCCTAATTAATGCCAGATGCCAATATTTTGTCTGGCTGTATCTCTTAACAGAAGAAACATGGTGCTAGCTCTTGTCATGTTAGTCAGGAGAATACTATTCTATTTCTTAATAAATTGGCTAAGTGGAAATAAAGGGCAAATGGTCCATGTGAAATAGTTGGCTATGTGTAATCACTTGCCAATTGTCACAGAAGGAATGTTTCAGTCAGATTAACCAACATTAAAAATATTGTTGTCTTTTTGAATGAATGAATGTTATTTTTTTCAGAATGCAACATGACTTTATGTGAGGCTCTTATTCCAATCTGCAGAAGTGGTGAAAAATTAGTAATAGGCTATAACCCCCTTTCTTGCTGTCCACAATACCGATGTGGTAAGTTGCATATGGAAATAAGATTAAAAGGATATTTTCCAATCCTGTATTTATCTGTGCTAGATGTTATTGATGGATGTTCTGCCTGTGTTAATAGATCAGAACACTGTCAGTAGCACGAGACTAATATTTCTACCTTGTTCCTCAGGGTTTTTGTGGATATTTGTATTTGAGCTGTCTCTCAGTTTTGATTTATAACATGTTTGGGTGGATTAATAGGAAGTGGAAAAAGGGAAGATAAGCTTTTTTATTTTGGCATTATACCTATGACTTCTCTTTTATGTAGAATGTGATCTTTCAGCCTGTCCTAACACTTCCCGTCCAGACTGCAGAGAGGACCAATTTGTTGTTGAAGCAAAACAGGAAGACCCTTGTTGTTTCCTATATCTCTGTGGTAAGATGCCCTACTGTGTTATCGTTCTTGTAGTTAGGTGGGATATTATATGGAATTTAGAGGTAAGGGGGGGGGTGGTTTCTAGTGACTTACTTGATAACTTTGGCTGAGAATTGTCACAGGATCTGATACAACAGAGTCTTATAGGAGGGGCTAAACAGTTTTAATTTACTACCTTCAGGGATTCTTTTGCAGGTTTGAGGCCTTTATTTGTAAGTGATTTTTTTTTCCTCACTGCTAAACTGCAAAATGACTGGGATAAAAATACAGGGATTGAGCTCATCTTAAAATATGGATGCATTTTATTCATTGAGTTCTGTGAGCTTTGCTTTCAGTCTGCAACTTTCTAGGTAATAATCCACAAGTTTCTTAGTATAAATCTCAATGAGTCAATACAATTTATGTATATGCTTCATCATTACATTCATTTACCTATTTTGTTTGAACGTAATAGTAAAAAAAAGGCCCTGAAATATTCAACTGACATGTCCAGCATAAGAATGTGAATAGTATGAAACTAGTATGTAGCAACTTTCTGATGATACACCTGAAACCTTATTATAAGGCTTGTTCTTTTTAATTTTAGTTTGTGAATCTTGTGTTGAGCCAATTCCATTATGTAATGAGGGAGAAATTCTCACAGTAGATCTAAGCACCACTCATTATTGTTGTCCTCACTATCATTGTGGTAAGTGGGACTGTCTTTAATTGAAAGATTTCTCTTTATATAGTAAACATTATTTGCACATATTATCTTTTTCAGGTGACTCCAACACTTGTCACCAAAACTTGAGATTCTCTACACATTAAAAGTAGAGTGTGATATCATACACCATTTATACAGTATCTTAAGATACTGCTCTCTTACGGTATCCCATTTGTTTTTGTTTAAACTTTGTTTTCTTTATATTGTTAGCTTCTTGAGGGAGGCACTTAAGCAACAATTTTCAAAAATTACTTGTGTTGAGTTGATGTGATGAACGACAGGTTTCCCTCACTTTATAGATTCATAGATGCTAGGGTTTCATAGTTTCATAGTTTCTAGGGTTGGAAGGGACCTGAGCAGATCATCTAGTCCGACCCCCTGCCATGGCAGGAAGAGCACTGGGGTCAAACGACCCCAGCAAGGTG